ATATTGTTAAGGAATAAACTTGTAAATTGAATTAAATTGATAACATTAACAATGGGCCCATGTAATTTTTGTATTATTTATATAATTTATAACCTTGCACGAATTTTTTTTTTTTTTTTTGAAAAAAGAGGGGTAACTTTGACAATTTTGTTAAAAATGAATGAATGTACACCTAGATGGCATGATAGCTACCTGTCCAACGTATGTCTACTCTCCAAATGGGAGAGATCCCCAAGGTTGATATGGATTACACTAATTCAAACAACTAAATAGAAATAGTTGAAACAACAAAGGTCTAGAATTTCTAACAACCTTAAAATTTTACAATTCTTGTAAACAGTTAAACTTAGTTACCACGTTTTTTCGAACCATAGTCGTCATTGGTGACACCTAATCAACAAACAAAAAGCATAATACAATTTGTTAACAATTGGTATGAACATAAGAATGAAGTAATACCAATACACACATTTTCGTCAATTAAAACCATATCAAAACTAATCAAATCCCTATTTATAACACCCTATTTCACATTTGCATATAACCCACATATTTCCTATAACATGGAATTCAAATAACTACACACTGTTCTCAAATGTACAACTTGCTACGTTACAAAAGTAACTATAAATTTTTTCCATATATATCTAGTACAAAACTTGTAAACATAATAAGTTTTGAAGTACAAGTAATAACGTCTTCTAAAAATCTACACATGTAATGCAACCATGATCCCTTTACATTTTCCCCTTTCCCTTATCCTTTGATTGTGTCCGACTTGTAATGCACATTTTAAAACACAAAATGAAGGTTAGACTATGAGGTCTAGTGGGAAATCCTTTTGATTGCTATTACAAAGTGATAATCACCAAAATAGTTTTTATAAAGCCCATATTTATATAAATAACAAATAAACAACTTTTTTATCGAAACAAACTTCTTTATCGCATCATAACTCATTGAAGTCTCAAACTTATCACATTAAATAAACAAATAGTCAAATTGTCGCATATCACATGTAATACACCAACTTATCGCACCTCAAGGATGCGATAATATTTCCTTGCATCTCATTGATGCGATAACCCAGACTTATCGCATCACAAAGATGTGATAACCACCTTTTGTCGTATCCAACAGATGCGATAAACATTCTTGTCGCACCATATAGATGCGATAACAGTAACTCATCGCACCATACTAGTGTGATAAACTCAATATATCGCATCACAAGGATGCGATAAGAAACACTTCAATTTTAAATCTCAATTTCATCGCATCACACTATGTGATAACAATTACACTCATCGCATCATATAGATGCGATAACAGAATCCCATGATCAAAAAGATCATCATTTTCCAAAATTTGATTATGTCACCCTAATTACAAAGATATGTTCAGCTCCTGATTATGCCATCGTTATTACAAAGATATACCCAGCTTCTGATTATGCCACCCTTGTTATCAAAAATACACATCTTTTGATTATGCCACTCTTATTACAATCAAATGATAAAATCATATCAAAACCCAAAATTTATGCTAATAAATAGCATAAAATCATCACATATTCACGTATGAAACCTTATGGTTTCTTCACTCAAAACCACATTAAATGATGTTTTCAAAATAAAACTCATATCGAATCATAAATTAGATAAAAGCTTTAAAACAACAATGAATAACAGATGAAATCACGTATCAAGTTCTTCTTTCATCTTATGTTTCCTTCGAACAAGAAATATTCTCACCAACTTTTTACTTCTCTTCACAATACCCCAAGTAATACAAATATCTCACATAATATGAGTAAAGAAATAAGAGGCAGTGGTGGTGATATCATTTTAAAAACTCATTTTCAAAACAACCCCTCAACTATCATCACTTATTCAAAACAACCTCAAAACTTAATAACCGATAAAACTCAGTTATCCCACTATTTCTGAAAAGGAATGGTTTTATTAATACACCTAGGGGTGAGCAGCGGAATCGGATACCCGTTTGCGGAACCAGAACCGCCGGTTCTGGAACCGGAACCGATATGAGTGGTTCCGGTTCCAGTTCCTAAAATACGGAACCAATTGAGAACGGTTCTGGTTCCGGTTCTCAGTTTTTCGGAACCGTTACCCGCCAAGTACCCGGAACCGGCGGTTGTTTTTCAATAAAAAAATAATTAATTTTTTTCAATACCAAATTTATACTAAGTTACATATTCAAATGACGCGGTCATCTTCATTCTTCGTCTACTTTCTAGTTCTACTAAACTACAGTTCGTAGTATGTAATCATTAAGTTTTGAACATTTACAATTATAGTATATAATCGTTAAACTTTGAACATTTACAATTATAGTATATAATCGTTAAACTTTGAACATTTTCTATTAGTCTATTATGGTTTGTAATCGTTAAAACAATATTTGTAACCATTATTCCGTATAATTTGTATTCTT